ATTACTTTTCCCTCGTCATTTAATAATTCAGAATATAATTCAATACCGTTAATTAATTGTTGTGTGCCGGTTTCGCTATTGTCCATAAGGGGTAATAACCCTGCGGCTACCTTAAGATCAAATTTTTCTCCCATTTTAACTAAATTTACAACGCTATTATTATCTAACCCTCTTAAACTATCTTTACTTTTTGCTACTGCTAACCTATCTATAAGAATTTCGTTTATATTGTTTTTTAAATTTTTTATTCTACTTATTAAATCATTTAATAATTCGTCTTTCGCTATTTTTGTCTTCCCTACTAATAATTCAAATTCATTTGATATTCGAGTGAGCTTAGCAAGATTTTTATCAATTACCGCTAAATTTAGACGCCTATCTTCGTTTTCTTTTTTAATATTTCTTAAAAATACTCCTAGTTCCTCAAAAATGTAATTAAAATCCTCTAACTTATTCATTTAACTCTAACCCCATCTAACTTAATTACAAAAATTGATATAATATATAATAATACTTATAAAATAATAAAATAATAAAAAAAAATCTAACTTAATAATTAACAACCAAAATAATAATTAACAAACGAAACATTTTTGAATACCGCACAATTGTTAACTTGCTCCACGTACCTTACACATTACTCTTCGGCTCTGCGTTAAGTACTTCTCTGCTGCGAAGAACCTCTTGCCTGATCCTCTTGTCCATGTACCTTTTTGACCGCCTTCTTATGTAAAGTCCCACGATGAACATGATGGTAAGGACTGCTATTATGATTAGTACCTCATAGATGCTGAACTTGCTGTCTCCCAAGGAATTTGAAACTCCACCACTGTTACCAGCCTGGCTTATTATGATTTCATCTTTTTCTATTTTTGATCTGCACATCTCTTTTGATTTTAATACGGCAATATTATAATTCGTTGTTTTTCTTCCTCTGAACTGGCAGGATCGCCATGTAATGTTGGGTCACTCTGAGTAAATAAGTAGTTTCTTACGTTTTACTATTTTTATTGGTTTTAATCATTATCGTACAAAAGTTACTTATCGACTATATAATATCACAATTGAAACCTATATCTAATTAACATAATAATTGCAATTCTGCAATTCGGATCGCAGTCCGGTCAATGCATTGTAATTGAGGAAATGTACGAATTAAGTAATTACACAATAAGCATTAAAATAGCTAATAAATATATTAATATATATAAAAGGGATAAATAGATATTTTACGAAGTTCGTACATTACATCCTATAACACTACAAATTTCAAAAAAAGTATATTTCCTTGGTAGAATGGGAAAAAATCTATCATTGCAAGTAAAATTATTGTTGTATAAAGCCATTATAGCTCCACATTTTAATTATTGTTCAACTGTGTTGTTCTGTATAAATAATATTGAAATGCAAAAACTACAGAAACTACAAAATAAAGCATTAAGAATTATTTTAAAATGTAACAGGTATACTCCAATCAAAATGATGCTTGATATATTAAGTATTTTGAGTGTTAAACAGTATGTGGTTTTTAAAACATTATTATTTATATTTAAAGTCAAGGCTGGAATTCTTCCTGCATATTTAAAAAACAAATTAATTTTAGTACAAAGTGTAATTACAATACTTAGAGTATTAATGATTTTTATGTGGGGAATTATGATAGGGTGCAAACAACAAAAAATGTTTTTGTTAATGGTTTGGTATTATTTAATAGCCTCCTAAATGAATTAAAAAGCTGTGATAGGGTTGAAATATTTAGAAAACTTGTGATGAATTATGTTAAACAAAACTTTGTATTGTGATATTTTGACTATGTTATATATAATTATTTATATTTTTTGTAAAAATAGCTTATGCTAATAATTGACTATTTATTTATTTAAAATACTTATACATATCCTGTTAATTTAAAAAGTATAAAATACTTACTTGTCCATAGCTTTTTCTTAAGATAAAATAATTCTGACAGTATGCCAAATTTAAAATTTCATATTAAACCTTATGTATCGCCATCTATCCGTGGCACAGATTCCGTGCACTCCCGAAAATGAATTAAACTATAATTTTAAACTGTGTGTGGCGCCATCTACCAGTGAATTTTCGAAAACCCTCATTTTGAGAGGTCTGTAATGTATACCTACCATTTTAGTAAAATGTACTGTAAATCATATTATTTTTTACTACTTTCGTACTTTTTATGAAAATGCAAGCAAAAATGTACTGTAAATAGTACAAATGTACTACACACATAAAAATAATTTCTATATGTAAGGAAGGCTAATTCAAACCAAGTATAGGGAATATTTATATATACGCAAAAAAATATATTTTTCCGTTAAGAAAAATATTTTCTTACGATTTAAGCAACTAATTTACTTCATCGATTACAATATGTACTTGTTAAAAGATATTGTGATTGCTCACACCTAGTAAATGATTTACTCAAATTAATAAACACAGAATATTTGTGTCAATTATTGAAACAATTTTGTTTGAAGTGTATTAAATTGCTGCAATAAAAACTTTTTAGGTAAAATAAACCGTTTCCTTTGTTTTATAAATTAGTTATTCATCACGAAAAAAGCGTCAAATTAAATTAAGAAAAAATATTATTTGTGTAAAATAAATAATTTGTTTTCATAGAAAAATTAATTTGTTTGTATAAAAAAACTGTTCTGTTTGTATATAAAAATTAAATCTTTGTAAAAAAATGTTTATTTTGTATAATATTTATTGGTATAAAAAACAATAATAAAAAATAAGAAACACATACATAACATAAAATATAGGTAACTTCTTTCAGTCAAAAACAAAAAATAAAAAAAATTTACATATACAGGGTGTCCTTGAAATGATTTGACACCTTTAGGGAGGTGACAGTATTGATCAAAAAGAAGAGAAAAACTATCGATTTTATTAAGTTGAAAATTTTAAAAGGGACCCGAAAAATTTTAATAATCGCCGCCAACGAATCAGACTGCAGCAATTTAAAACGTGTTTTTTTTAATTATTAATAAAATCTAGTTAGATTGATTTTTGGATTTATTTGACTGAAAAGTCAATCTAACTAGATTTGTGTGATTAAAAAAAACAAGTTTTAAATTGCTCTCTAGTCTGATTCATTGGCGGCGATTATTAAAATTTTTCGGGTTCTTTTTAAAATTTTCAACTTAATAAAATCGTAAAAATTTTACTAAGCTTTTCTCTTCATTTTGATCAGTACTGTCACCTCCCTGCAGTCATTTCAAGGACACCCTGTTTAATTGTACAATAAAAGTAATTAGTTTCGAAACTATTTATTCGGAATAAAAAGAAACATATTTTTCATCTTTTATTTCACGTAAACATGTATTATATTTGAAATGTTTTAAATGATTTATATTTAAAAGAGAGTAATTTTCTGTAAATTCCACTCTGTATGCCCTATAATGACAATTATACCCAAACCGTAATAAATAATTACACCTAATAAAAACATTGTGAAAGCTTGATTTATCAGTAAATATATTTTACACTTGACAAAAGATCGGTTGATCATCAACTAGTTCTAAAACTAATATTGATTTTAAATCAATTCTAAAATTATTTTTTTTATAAAACGACACAGAAGCAAAGTCCTCTTTATTAATATCAAAATTGTTTGAGTTCTCAATTAATGTTTCGTCAATATTAAGGAAATTGCAAATTTCGAGTTCATCTTGAAAACCTTTTCCTGACATTGAACGGCAACATTGTTGTAACTGTATCCTAACACCTACAGTATAGGGTAAGTTTATTCGGCATTTTGTGTTTCGTGCAAAAGTTTTTAATTCCGCGTGTTTTGCTTCATAGCGCATTGAAGAAATTAAAGAAAGTGGCCCTACTGCACGAATAATTCGTACATAATGGTTTAAAAAATGATGCTTTGGTTTAAGTTTTAAACCGAAAATTTTAAATACATTTCATGATGTTGTGTAACCAGTGATTCTATGAGATCTAATTTACAGTTGCTTATTTCTCTTGCGCACAAAATTTCTGTTAGGTCGAAAAGAATTAAATAGAAGTTCCATACTTGGTTTTCAAATGAAACCAAGTCACCAACAGAAAAACGAAAATTTCGTACCAAACATAACATTTCGGCAGCCGAAAAAATAATGCAACCATTAGAAAGATGATTTGTTAAGATTCGTGGTGGTTTATTTTTTTCACCGTAATCGTAAGCTAAATATTTAAGGCGATTATTTAGATGATCTAATGTAAAGAATTTCTGTTTAACTAGGTGTTGGATAATTAACGCCATATCGTATCTATGTACCCCTTCGAATAAATCGTGCATTACATCACAGCTGTAGTTTTCATACATGTGAAAATTAGGCAATTAATGCCAAATGCAAAGTTTTTTTAAGCCCATTTGTTCTTTGAGATGTTTGTCATACTGGGTTCGTTCTCTTACGCACAAAGGGTCTTCCTTTATTTGGGTTTGAGTAACAACTTTTGAAGCCGTACAAAATTTACAGAAAAAGTGGGCATTAAAGTTTTCTACACAATCAAGAATTGAGTGAATTCCCAAATTGTCACCCGCTAAAGTTGCCACAGAAAATTTAACACATTTTTTAGCGTTTCCAACAGTTATTACTATTCCGCTCTTTTCCAAAAAAATTAACACATTAATTAATTCTTGAAATGTCCTTTGATTACCGAAATTACTCCTATCTATGAAATATTTGACTAACAAAAATATTTTCCAATTTACTGCTGCACTCAGAAGGAATTGTGGCAATTGAGTAGTAAATTGCGCCAAGCTTGTAAATGCCTGCATGCGAACCTAGAGGGTTACCAGTTTCGAAATCATCAAAATAGACGATACGCGGTAAAACGGTAAATTCTTTTGAAGCCGATTTGCTGTAAAAGTTTTGCCAGACTTTTCCATGAACAAGATTTTTCACATTTTAAGTGTTAGGATCGTAGCTATGAAGCAGGGTCGTTTGATAGTTACATATTTTTGAAAAAACATCTGGTAATTACAAATAGTCTGTTAAAGTTTTGCGCATAGGCAGAAATGCAGCGAATCTATCTTTTAGAACCAAAGAGACATGTTGACTACCGCGCTTTTCATCTGCGGACGCGCCTAATTTAACTGAAACGGGTTTTAAAAACTTTGCATTATGTTCTAAAAAAGAAAACCTTTTGTATTCATTGTCAACAATTTTAAATGGATATTCTAACACACTTAACATATGATCAATGTCGGACCAACAAGATTTGAAATTATCTGTTGCAACTAATTTGATGCAATCTTTTATTCTAGCAATCAATCCTGAAGATAAAAAACTTGTGACGCTTTCTAAAATAGTCTGAATAACTGTTCTATTTAAATTGAAATTAAGATATAAAGTGGCAATAAGTTTTTCAAGGCTTGTTTTAAAAATCGCAGAAAATTTTGATGTTAATCGTTTGAACTTTGCTTCTGGAGTCTTTTCTGTTTCTTCAGATTGGTCTTCACCAACAAAAAAATTATTTGAAACTTTAAGATTGTGGTCGCTATTTAGAGTAGAATTAACATTACTTTTTAATTTATTTTCAACATGATCTGGACCGTCTTTTTCAATACTGTGTTTTTGCATAAGATGCTTTCTAAAAGTATCTTTCCTATGAAATATTCGAGTACAATTGTCAATAGGGCATACAAAATGTCTGTATATAGGATGGTTAAACTCCAAGTGAAAAATATACTTCCTAACAAAAGGAAATTGTTTTTTACATAAATGACACTGCATGTTGTCACTTAAATCAAAATGCTAAAATAACAATATTTAATGCTTTTCAATCGCATTTAAAATGGCATGCAAACTGGATTGAATAACATCAAACCGTGTTTGGAATTTATAAACTCCTAACTGAGTCAATGTGTAAATATAAGTACTTTCAGGAGGATATTTAAGATGTAGGGTATGAAATACCTTAACTAATGTGTCGAAAGCTTTCGTGGTACTATCGAACTGATATTTTACTTTGTCAATGACGATATAAATACTCCGAATTTCCCAAAGACTGCTGCCTTCAACAAGTAAGTAAGGTTGTACTGTTGTGTTCTTTTTGTACGCGTCTTCAATATTTCTAACAATTTTGGCTTAGATGTCTCCGGGATTCTAAAAAAAAGAAGCAAGATAACTGATTATCCGTTAAAATAATATTAGTTAAAATACATACGTTCAAGAGTTACAATAGAGTTCAATACTTCTAAAGTTGAACATTTCCAGTGGTCTCGTTTTGCAACTTTTCTTCCTGTTGGTGGAATTAGGTAGGGCAAAAATATCTGGTCTGGAAAAAATTCAGAAAATATATATCTAAGATTTTTGTTCATGAAATAGCCTTTTACCTTGACCATCCAGTTTATCTATTCTATCCAGCATTTGCAGTGGGACGTCATCTTTGAGACTGCTACGTTTTAATTCGAGGATTTTGTTGAATACAGCTTCAAAGTTTAGGTATAAGTTTAGATTTGCCTCGGGATATAATTTCTCAAAGTCCAAGTTGATCTACAATTATCATGAGAAAAAAGTATAGCTAATTATGGCGAAAATTAACTTTCCTACCAAAATATTTGCTCTCGAGTCATTTAGTACGTTCCATTTCTCAAAATACTCAGCTGCTGATGATGCGGAGCCAGTTCGTCTAAGAGGAAAGGTTTTTTTGCCATTTCTCTATTACAGTTTGCCATGGTTCATTATTTCGTTGCAACCAAATAACGTCTTCATTCAAATCATCTGTAATTTTTATTGTTAAGTCTAAATATAACACAATCATAAAAAAATACCATTGATATCAGCATCAGTACTGACTTCATCATCTGTATTTTCTATGGACCTTTTTTGCCCTTTTTTACATTGTTCGGAAACGTACACACTATTTCTCGCCTTACAAACCAATTTTCCTTTTGCAGGAATACTTTTTCCTACAGAACTGTTTTCTTTACGAACAGCCGGAATATAGTACGTGCTGTCTGTTTCTGAAGGAAAAAGACTTATAATTTTGGATGCAAGAATGTTGTAGTCCTGATGGGCTAGGCGACTGAAAAAAATTTAGGTTTTTCTTCTGTGGTTTATAATTTTGAGAATAACATACGTTTTAACAATTACATTAAAGATGTGTCTGATGACTACATCAACCAATCGATTTCTGTGCTTTTCTTCTAAATGCCCATGCGAATGATAATAGTTTAAAACACTACAACCTCCTGACGTTGTAGATAATAGTGTTTTAAGGTCAAAATCCGCGAACTTAGGCTCCAACAGGAACGATATTTGGACGTCACTCCAATCGAAGGAGTTCTCCAGAGCAATATCTTGAACCGACCTTTCTGACGCGTTTGTTGGGGCAGTGCTGGATGCACACGTTGTTAGTCTCTTGTTTATTCTATAATATTGTAAAATAATTTAATAGGTTTATGTAAACTAAAGTTTAGGAAAGTACCGAATTTATTAACTCCTTAATTTTATTTTGAACTAGAATTCTAACACCTATTGGTGGAGTCTATTTTATTTTCTAGAAGAAAAATACTTATGTGTAGTTAAATGGATTTGATTAATGTACTATGATGGACATCATAAAGTCCCACCCGGTTTTATCGTTCACTCTGACCTTGCCGCGAATTCAAAACAACCAATAGGAAGTCGCTAGGCACTTTTGTCAAATCTACAATCATATCTATTTAAATTGTTGATTGTTTCGACCTTTACTTGATGAAACTCTATATTATTAATATATGAATAAAAACAACACTGTTTTAAAGTTTTACTAATTTATTTATGTTTTTAATGATTAACAATTGTTTCGCTACACAGTAGTTTCTTCAGAATTGGTACATATTTTATCAAGTGGCGGTATTTATATTAACAAATGGCAGGTAATTTGAGAAAATAAAGTTTTTCCAAAATTATGTAAGTTTTATTAATACCTTCAGGTATAATGTTTATACAACATTTATTTTCTCAAATTACCTGCCATTTGTTAATATAAATTAGCTTAGGGTTAGCCATTGCATTAACATGAACTATTTTGGTTTTTTTTTATCAGTTGTAATTCCGGGGTACAAATTATTTTTAAAATTAATGATCACGTAATCTTTAATGTTGTATTCAATATAATTATATTCTTTCTGATCTGAAATTCTTTCACCGCTTTCTTTTGCTTTCTCACTGCCCTTTACTTTTTTATATTTTTGATTTGTTTTTTTTCTTGCCTGATTCACAAGCTTAATTTTGTTGACTTGGACGCAAAGTATTGTTTTTTTCTAGTTTTCTTTTTCTTCTTCTAGTTTTTTTGTCGTTCTTCTTTATGGATATGGTACTTCCTCCAGGCATCAGATGTTCCAACTGAAGGCAACTTTCCTTTTTTTTAACGGCGTTTTATTTGTCGGCTTCACTTTTGTGTTGATTTTTTCTGGCGTTAATTCGTTTTCGCAATGATTTCTTGAGTTCTTCTCCTAACGTTAAAAGTTTTCCCTTGAAGAACTTTGGTGATATAAAGTCTTATGATTCAATTTAAAGTGTATTTAGAATACTTTTCGTACTCGCAGTTAATATTTTAGTCCTTGTCGATGCACTTTCCTCGTTATCTGTAATCTCAGTAATTTTTAAAACTTGGCGTTTTACTAGTTTACTAAAGTTTCTAGAGTATCTAAAACATAAGTATATGTTGTTTTGTTCTGTAAAGCGATATGGGTTTCTAGACAATTATTGTTAAAATTTTCACTGCTGCCACCTTTTACATCATTATTGTCAATTACCACCATATTTTCAAATCCATTTTCTAATACCAATCAGTTATAACCAACTTGGGGTTGGAGATACAGCGCCGGCAGCTCTAGTGTCTGGGAGCTAGGTTGTGAAGTTGTGATTTTCCATACTTACTATTTTGTAGGGCGCCACTACAACGTTACAGAGCTGAAATTAACTTTTGGTTGTAGGCAAGAACTTAAACTCAATTTTCAGTTACTTACTCAATTTTAATATTTGAATTTTTGTAGGAATATCCTATTTTAAACCGTTAATGATTTTATATTTAAATGTTTTTAATAATTAAAACCCAAATAGCTATTTGTTCACATGTAAAATAGTTGTACCTCTACCTTTATAATTATAATTTACCAAGTCGCAGACTTTTATAAAATATTTAAAACCTTTTGAAATAATTAAAGAAAAATTAAACCTGGATCCATCCCTGGAGTAGGGTTGCCACCTTTTAAGCTTGGGGTTGGAGGACATGGAAATTTTTTAAATGCCCGCTGCGAAAATTTAAAAAAAGGGGGCGTTGCCAAAATCAAAACGAGTTCAGCAGAAATGACCAAGGACCGATCCCTTGCAATATTAACTTTAAGAACTAGAACATTATAAATAATAATAAATACTTTATTGATCCCAAGAAACATAGATTGTTTATAGAGGGACAAACTCTGAACATCTAATAATTACAATATATCACAGTGATAAAACATTATCTTATAAGATAATTATAGTCTTACAAATATACAATATACAATGCAAATATACTTTATACATTAATTTACATATTTACTGAAATTTTTTTTTTCAAATTCAATACTCAAGAAGAAGACACGCAGGTTAGCCTCTTATCAAGGATTGAAATACTCTTTTATATGTCTTGTCGATTTGGTTTTTATATCTTCTGGTAAGCTGTTATATATACTAACACCTCTATATAATAAACATGCTTTACCATACTTTGAGTAGACGTGTGGAACTGTTAAATTATTATTATTTCTTGTGTTGTGTAGATGTATTTCATTTCTGGCTTTAAAATTAATATTCGTGTGTTTCTTCTCAAGTATAGAACCATGAACAAAGCTACACACCTGATATTTATAAATATTATCTATGGACATTATTCTAAAGTTAGTATAAAGATCTTCTGAATGATATCTTGAGGGTAAACAATACAGGTTCTTTATTGACTTGTTTTGAAGAGTTTTTAGGGGCCTTATGGTGACAGCACTAGCCGTATACCATACCATCGTTAGATATTGCAGGTGAGAGTGTATTAATGAATAACAAATTGATCTTAGATATTGTTTTGGGACATTATTATTTAATTTATATAAAATACCTATGGGTCCAGCAATTTTGCTTCTTAATTTATTAATATGGTCTCGCCATGACAGTAATTCGTCAATTATTAGCCCAAGGAATTTAATATTTCTAGAATATTTTAGACTCTCACCTGCCACATCCAATGGTTGCCTATCAAATAAGTTACGCCTATAGATATACATGTACGAGGACTTGTCAATATTCAAAGTTAGCTTATGAGATTTAAGCCAACTCAAAATCATCTTCAAGTCACAAACAATATTTCTCCTAATTGAGTCATAAGTATCTGAGAAGTATACTAAGGTTGTGTCGTCGACATTAAACTAATAACTACCTATTATACCTACCTACCTAATATTAAATAAACACATTTTTATAACAAAAACAAAACAGCATTGCAGTCAGATAAAAATAATAATATACCTAGTAAATTACCCAGACTGCAATGAAGGTGCGAAAATATTCCAGGAATATGCCCTCATCTAGGAATAATCCGCTTCATTCCAGGAATATTCATTGGGAATATTCCATAGAATGATCCTCTAAAACTTCCAAGCACCATCTAAGAACATTCCCACTGGGAATTTCCCAGTGAATATTCATAACGCATTTTAGAAAGCACTAGGCAACCCACTATACAGATACCGAACAACATAATTTTTTATTGTTTGCAAGCCTGTTATTTTATTGGTTTACCGAGAAAAATATTTTTGTCAGAGCACAATAAAATACATAGAAAGGAGGACATATTTCATTTAAAGGAGGACAAAGGACATGATCTTATCAAAAGAGGACTGTCCTCCACAAAGGAGGACAGGTGGCAACCCTACCCTGGAGTGTTATCTGGCAACTGTTCAGCATTATTGCTGTTCGTATGGGGGTTTCCAGCTTATTGCATGGCCTTTAAGCCTGGGCAGCATGATATTGTTGATCTGACCCGATGATGGTAATAACTGGTCTTTGTCCCCTCGAACCATAAGGATTTGTCAATAAACCTTCAAATGCCTGACAAGGAGCACCCCAAAGAAGCCCTAATGAATTAATATGCAAATTAGTCTCGCTACCACCTGGGCTGTCAATATTTCTCCGGTTTCTTTCTTAAAATGTTGAAAAAACTGCAAACTATGTAGCCTTAAGGCCGATGAAATAGGTGAAACGTATTTATAACGCCATTGAACACATCTACGAGACAGAGCAAATTAAAGATTAAAAATCAATCCACACTCACCATGTTGCACGTGAATTCACAACCTATCAAAATATTCTTTTAAATTAAAAACTGTAACCGAACATTTGTAAGGTTACACAGTTTTCAATTTTAATTATAACATTAGCAACTAGGGTGACTTCTTGCAAAGGTTCTTGTTGTTTAAAGGTGGTTCCAGTATTATTAAATATAATATATTGTCTCTAGTAGGTCCTTTCCAGTCAGAGCCTCTTGGCCCTTAAAACTGAAGAACCCTTAGGTGATACAAAAACGCTGATTCGTCGGTGTTGAACATTCGTTTTGGATCTTGTATTAATATTTGACAACAAAAAATAATATTTTATTTCTTGAAACCAGTTTTTTATTTTTTCTGCAGTGATGCACGGGCTAATGACAAATTTTGGTTTAATCGTTCACTAATACGTGGATGTCTTGAGAAATCCCTCAATCCAATGACGACCAGGTATTCACTCTGCAAATTTGTTAGGACGTTTTAAGTGCTTAACAAATAGAGCAACGCTGTCCAGTAGTTGGTCTTTGGTAACAAAAAACCCTTTACACTCATATTTACTATCCATTGCTCCCGAAGATCTTCTTCATCTGAGATTAAAATTGTTGATGCTCCACTTCTACAGTCTTCTGGATAAATACCCTTAATTTTTCCAATTAAAGTTGTGCTGGGAACTTTAAATTCTTTAGCTGCTGTTACAAGGTACCCCTTGTTTTACAGCATCTAAGGCTCGACGAAGGTTTTCTTTCAAGTATGTGTAGTACTTCCTGGTAGACATGCTGTAAAGGAATATAAAATGCAAAACTCGCTAAAAAGATTAATTATTTTTATATTGTGAAATAAATAATCATCGACAAAGCTATGTAATTATAAAAAATAAAAATAACAAAAGTATTAAAATCAAACAGGTTAGACCTAATGAATAAATCATATGGAGAACTGAATAGAATACCTGTTGCTCTGATTCAAACATTAATTCGACACCACTGTCTGATATATGTCCACAGCTTAAAAACAAAACGCGGAAAAGGATAAAAAACACGTTAATATTTAAAAAAGACACCTTAATATATCTAACATAATTCTGTTG